CATTGGTCAGTTTAGTTTTAACAGCTGTTATTGTTGTTCGACAGTTACGACATTAATCAGATTAGTTTAGCTGTTATTATTGTTGTTTAACAGGTACGACACTAGTCAGTTTGGTTTTAACTATTATTATTGTTGTTTAACAGTTACGACACTAGTCAGGTTGGTTTAACGGTTATTAAGCTGTATTTGAACAGGGAAAGTTTAAGGATAGTCAGGTTGTTTTTAACAGTTATTAAGCTGTGTTTGAAGAGGGAAAGTTTAAGGATAGTCAGGTTGTTTTTAACAGTTATTAAGCTGTGTTTGAAGAGGGAAAGTTTAAGGATAGTCAGGTTGGTTTAATAGTTATTAAGCTGTGTTTGAAGAGGGAAAGTTTAAGGATAGTCAGGTTGCTTTAACAGTTATTAAGCTGTGTTTGAACAGGGAAAGTTTAAGGATAGTCAGGTTGGTTTAACAGTTATTAAGCTGTGTTTGAACAGGGAAAGTTTAAGGATAGTCAGGTTGGTTTAACAGTTATTAAGCTGTGCTTGAAGAGGGAAAGTTTAAGGATAGTCAGGTTAGTTTAACAGTTATTAAGCTGTGTTTGAAGAGGGAAAGTTTAAGGATAGTCAGGTTAGTTTAACAGTTATTAAGCTGTGTTTGAACAGTTTAAGGATAGTCAGGTTGGTTTAACAGTTATTAAGCTGTGTTTGAACAGGGAAAGTTTAAAGATAGTCAGGTTGGTTTAACAGTTATTAAGCTGTGTTTGAACAGGGAAAGTTTAAGGATAGTCAGGTTGGTTTAACAGTTATTAAGCTGTGTTTGAACAGGGAAAGTTTAAGGATTAGACGAAATATGGAACAAAGAAATAAAAAAGAATTATTGAAAACACGAACTAACGTTCGAACAGGATCGGGAAAAACGTTACTGAAATTGTCTTGAACGTTAACTAATACTTTGTTACACGCTTTGCCAACCAAGCTGTGTGTTTTCACGTGAAAGCTCAACTTTTGTAAAGTCAGTCAACATTATTGTTCTGCTAATATTATAATTTTGTTTTCTGCTATAACCGAATGTCGACATGTTAACCAAGGTGATTTGTGGTCAACATTTCTCCAGTGTTTTCCCGCTTTCATTCTATAACGAAAATGCTGAAACAAAAGTTTGACCAATGGATCTTGTTCATCCTCAACTCTAGTGCTATGACCAAAAATACTAGAACACAGTTTTACTATATCTGTAACTCTGCATGAGGAACACGTAGGTGGGATGTCGATCTCTCTATGTCACTCCCGGGGGGGGGGGGGGGAGGGCCATAAGGTTACATGCTAGGTTTGAGGACAATTGGTCCATCGGTTCGCTATAGTTATAATCGGGCACACACACACACACACACAGGTTATTTTTGTCAGATAATAGTTTATATGAAGTAAGACCCTGGCGTTTACATTGACAGTACATGAGAACAAACTACACTGTTTGCGGTAAGTGAATATGGCGGATATTACAAGTTACTTCCTGGAGTTGAAAAAAGACGATATTTTATTACAATTTTTAGGCGGCGTTTGTAACACTAAGGTATTTTTGCCATTGACTTATTAAGTTAGTTACGTTCGTTCCATAACCCAGAGGGAGCTGGTTGTCTTCTACCACTAAGTTCGCGCTTTGGTCTTCGTTGAAGATTCCGCACTGTAAAGACGGTCCCTGTGCCTCCGCGTATTGATGCAGAAGAGCAACATCAGTCGCCACCCACTTCACTGGAGTGAGAATCTTTCTTTTGCTGACGACGTTGGCACCTGCCCATTCCACTGCCTCGGTCTTAGCCAGGTATTGAGACCCCTGATAGGCTTCAGAAATTTGACGTCTGTAAGTCTTTTTGTGGGACAACAACGGGAACTGGACTTCTCTAACAGCTTTGTCGGGATAGTTTGTGCAGAACAGAGCATGCGCAAATCGAACATCGGCAAAATAACCCTCGACTGCTTGAGATAGATCCTGGATTAAGCCACTGAGGGAGGAGTTGCTTCGAGGAACAACAAATTGGTCTACACCAACCACAAGAGTGTATTGTTGTTTATACATATTCCTATAAACACAGTCCTGGGCACTCATAACGACGTTGTCCGAGTAACTTCTCCAAGTTAGCTTCAGATCCTTCAAGTCGACACTCCATGGCAAGAGCTGGACAGGCAGACCCTCGTTTGAAAGATCATAGATTATCCTTCTGACCGAGGCTGGACAACCATCGTCGTAAAAGGTAAACTTTGAGGCACCGAGCACTTGATAATAGGCAATAAAGTCGGCGATCTGCCATGCTACATTAGGAACCTTGGATAATTCTGAAGTCAATGGTTTGACACAAACGCCAAAGGTGGGTTCTTCTGAAGTCTGTGTCACAGATGCCTGAAATTGATGAACTTTGATCCAAGTGTTCTCCTGAGATTCATCCTGCTTGTTTGTTGTCAAGGTAACATCTGATGGACTCTCTTCTCCTCCCAGAGGATCTTTACAGATGAATTCGTACCCCTGCTCAGTAGAGTTGTCTTTAGTGACTTTGGCATAAGTGGCATTGACTTTGCGCACTACTAGATGACCAAGTTCTCGGTGTTCGTATCTCATCAAACATTCTGCTCTTGTTAGATCCGTAAGTAATTCGTTTGGCTGTGTGGAACTGGCAGCGAAGATGCGAACAAGAGGTGCATTCTGAACCCAATCACGGTCATCCCAATAAGCCGAATACAAAAACAACTGAGGTGAAATTTGTTGCCAAGTGTCCAGCCATCCGCTGTGTTCCCTCAGGATATATGATGGTTCGCTTTCGTTCCATTCTTGAGTTTTCCAGCTCGGTCCATTTCCAACAAACTGCATGACATACCACGGGTCAGGCTGCGGATGTCTCTCCATCTGACGGACAAACATTTTTAAAATGGGTTCTCTATTTTCTTCAGTTGCTCTTTTGGGTTGTAACATCTGAGTGAAGGGAAATATACTTTTTCCAACGTCAGAGACGCCTAGTAATATCACAGTACATCCCACCAAAAAAAGTACCTTCTTTTGCCTCCAAATTTTTCTAAAAACAGCCATTGAGAAGCTGGTTTTTACGGACGTTCTTCACTGTAAAAACAATATAAGATATAACACTGTTAAAATATAAGATAGTAACTTAACTCATCAACAACCAGTGTTCCATTATGTACGTGTTCTGGGTGCAGGGTTTACTCGTTAGTAACTTAACTCGTCAACTACCAGTGTTCCATTATTTACGTGTTCTGGATGCAGAGTTTACTCTTTAGTAACTTAACTCGTCAACTACTAGTGTTCCATTATCTACGTGTTCTGGGTGCAGTGTTTACTCTTTAGTAATTTAATTCGTCAACTACCAGTGTTCCATTATTTACGTGTTCTGGGTGCAGGGTTTACTCGTTAGTAACTTAACTCGTCAACTACCAGTGTTCCATTATTTACGTGTTCTGGATGCAGGGTTTACTCGTTAGTAACTTAACTCGTCAACTACCAGTGTTCCATTATTTACGTGTTCTGGATGCAGGGTTTACTCGTTAGTAACTTAACTCGTCAACTACCAGTGTTCCATTATTTACGTGTTCTGGATGCAGGGTTTACTCGTT